ATAATTAATATTACACGACTTCTTCAACCTAAAGAGTTCAAACATTTGAGACAGTTCCATGATCACTCTTAAGGCGATCCTGAAAGTTCTAAAACTGTCTATCCTTGATTATACAGTATGTATCTCCACAAAAGATATCTCTGTACGTACGCGGAGATAACCGTAGTGTATTTTTCGGCTTCAATGTCAAGAAATAAATCAATTTCTAAGTAGGGACATTTGAAGACGCAATAATCCCAATAATATTCAAATATGTATCGATTTTATCTGTATTTGCTGAGAAAGTGTAACGAAAATGGTTACATTTCAGCTCGATAGGTACTTTAGAGTGATATCACTGTGTACACAATTACAAATGGGGCCAAGTAAAAGCGATAAGAATTTATACTAAAACATGTTCAGAGATCATACAAGATTTTATCGTATTTTTTACTCGTGTCTTAAAAAATGCGGCTTAGGTTATTTTGGGATGTACTTTAAGTACCTACGTTGGGTAATAATTATTTACTACAGCATTTAGGCGCAAGTAATTTCATAAATAAAGTTCCAATTCAATTCGTTAAAATGTATACAAGGTGTTTCAAAAAAAAGACGGTAGAGGTGGTGAAGTTACAAATTGAAAAATGATAATTGGCCATAACTATGAAATGTTAATTAAGATTAATAAAAACACAAAAATGAAGGTACTTAAGACATATTAATAAAAAATAAAAATAAAAGTAGCTCAAGGACAGAGTCTTGAGGAACTCCACAATTAATTAAACGTGTTTCTGATAGACGAGAGTTATAGGTCATTCTCTGTATTTACACCCATATCGGATTAAGAAATAAATGAAAGATTTGACTGGGCAGTTGTATTTTAAACATTTACTCATGGGTGGCGTTATTTTGTATATTACAAGGGGTTCTTATAGCAACAAAATAAATATAAATTTTAGGTATTTAATTTTGCCTCAGAAAGCTTAAAAGAGATAGTAACATGATTTTGTTGTTTAATAATAGTTTATTCAGAACAAAAATTTTAATTTAAATACACAGTCTTAACCTGCGATTAAGTAAGTACGATGATTAAAAATAACATAACTTTTAAAATTCTATATTAAACAGTGATTATTATAAATAATTGTCTTTTGACATACCTATAAATCTTCAGCATCACTCTCAAAATTTGTGTCACTAGCGTCGCCGTCATCATTAAGGGATATAATTATAGGGTTAATTTCGTTTATCCTGTTTTCACGTGTCCACCAATCCTCAATTAATTTATCACATTTTTGAACACTTTTTTGCCAAATTTCTGGGATTGATGTATCCAGTGCTTGTTTCCATATTTCCCTTACTGTTTCGTCGCTGTAACCATTAATTCCAATACGATTGTCATAATACGTTTTACATATACCCCAAATGTGATCGATGGGGTTAAATTGACAAGGTTACGGTGGAAGCCGTAACACATCATGTCCATAACTATGTATGACTTGATCTACCATATAAATTTGTGGTGGTTCATGCCGTTTGGCTAAAGTTAACAACTCAGATTTAAGGGCGTATTGTGGAAATGCAACATTTTCGTTATCAAGTTATGTCCAGAATGATCAGATAGACCATTCTTCAGAACAGCTGTTGAGTCTAAACAAAAATCATCACCAACATTGCTACAAATATAGTCGAGACCATTATTTAATAGAGATGGGACGCTTGATTATATTTAGACGTAAGACGCAAAAAGAGAGTAATTGATTTAAATAAGCCCTTTCGATGGTAGGGATGGGATATTGTATGTATAGATTAATATTCTATTTCTCTCTAGTCAATACTATTATGTTTCTATACCGTTCTATTGGAGTCAGGAAAGCAATCTTATCGTACTGTTATGTGAGCCATTTCATTATTCAGTCATGCTCTAATTCTCCAAGTCTCTGTCTTATTTGGCCTTTGAGGCTCAACTTGTCCGATTATCATACATAATTAAACCCCTTGAGACCAAGCATATGTGACGACTATGGCGGAAGCACTTTCGCGAATATTCCTGAGTCAACGTGATGTTTATGGTAAATTTCGGATATGAGATGTTTTGGTGGAGAAGCATTCTGGAAACTACCAATTTGGATATAAATATTGATGGAAGATCAACAAAAAGTCATTATTAGTAGATAGACAGTCATGAATATAAATAGTGAACGATTCAAAGACATTCGAACTATATATAAATTAGAATAGTAGTGTTATAAAATAAAGAAGTGTTTAAATAAATTAATAATAAATAAACTGTTGTTTAAAATAAATAAACAAACATCACAGTACCAATTCTACTTGTTTCTCGAGATTCTATCGAACGACACCCATCTTGGCCCAATATAAACTTTTAATCCTGTTTTAATCTTTAATTGCAATTTCAAAATAATCCATATGTGAATATAATTCTCAAATCAAAGAAAACAAACTAATTTAACCAATCAATACGGTCTAAAGTCAATTAATTTATCTAATTGGCAGTAAAAACAAATAAATATCGAACTAATTTACCTAACCTATATGAACTGAAGTCAATTTATTTATCTTAGTTATAAAAACTAAAAAGAAATTATGGGCATACAGCGATATCTATGGATCTTCAAAATCGTGCACATGCCGTCACCACATCTTAACCAAATTTATATGGGACCACCCCTGAGGTACCCCCTTATTAAAAAAAAAGAATAATAGAAATTGGACAAGGTGGTAAAGAATGACCGCTACACATACATTAAAAATGAAGAGTGAGGATTTTCTAATGGACCCAATTATTACATTTTGACCAACTTGATATGGGACTACCCCTGAAGTACCCCCTTTCTATCAAAAGAAGAATCCTTGAAATCGGACACCACGTTAAAAAATTATCGCTGAACATACATAAAAAGCAAAAAAAAAAATAAATAAAAAAAAAATATTACGAAGAATTGAGAACCTCCTCTTTTTTGAAGTCGGTTAAAAATAGGACTGTCCATGCCCGCTATCATCAACATTGTGCTAAAATTATAGGCTCTAGCTCGTGAGTCAGCCTACAGACTTAATGTAGTTGATTACGTCGGGAAAAGGTGCTTCTCTTATACCGGCCGGTGTTAGCCGATATTCGCCGAATACAAATCTTCTAAGAAATTAAAGTGACATGCAATCGTAGGGGATGTGCTGGATGGTCTCATCGTCTTGTTCACATCCCCTGCAAAGTCCGGATTCTGACAGCTCCATGATATGGAGATGCTTCCATACTTGGCAAAGACCAGTCAGAATGAATGTGATAAGGCGCGGATTATGTCTAGTCGTAGTTAAGTATTTGTTTGCTGTAGTCTTGTCAGAATAACTTAAAGACGCCCTGGCAATTCTGCAGTTTCTTGTTTCATCTTTTCTTGAATTTTACAAAGAAATGATCTGTCACTACCGATGTCAGTCTAAAAAGTATTTGGTTGTCTGCCACCTTGGCTAGTGAATCAACAAGACGATTACCTTTCGATGTGACGTTACCTTTGATCTATTTTAAGGTGACTACATTGTTGATGGATATTTCGGCCAAAGCTTGTATGCTATCTGTATAGATGAGCATGTTCCTTCCAGTGATATTGTTTCTGGTGATTTCCTTTGCTGCTATGAGAATCTCTGTAAACTGGCACTCAAAGAGGTGATATGAACATTTTCAGCCGTTATTTTTTTCTCTCCTTTGTAGGTGTTGTTAAAATAAATTCTTGCAGATAACATTTTTTTATGGTCCCGCCAACCATCTTACAAAATTCCAGCAGGATGTACCATCGTACCACTTTACAGCTCTGGCTCTCAGCTTACTCCTTACTCTTTCATTATTAAATGCTTGAATAATTTTTGGCGTATTGGCTTAATAATATGAAGACGTCTTCTACAAAATATAGAGCTGTCTTTGCAGATCTTAAACTATCAGAAAACACTTTTTGGGAAAGACAGTTCCAAACTCTCTGTGCTGGACGTTTGATCTGAAGTATGAGTGTCAATTAAGAGATGGACGACTCACTCTAGCTGAACTGGTTAGTGATGAAAAGTTCAGAAAAGCAGGGATGATTGGAATATCTATAGCAGTGATACTCAAAGGGTGCTCTGTGGATCCCTGGAGCATAATAAAAAAAGCAGTACTCTGGCTACAAAAGGAAGGGACCTGGCTTGAGGACCTTTTTTGTTTAGAAGTCACTGAGAGGAAGAAGGATTTGATTTTGCTTGGAGGATTTTTAGGGCTCCATCAAATATTTCGCTTTTTAAAAAGGTTCCGTCACCAAGAAAGTTTAAGAAACACTGATTTATAGTAACTGGGTAGAAAATTGACCATCTAATATATCGAAAGAAGAGCGTGAGTTTATTGAGATTGTAATTTTATGCTGCAATTTTCCAAATGTGTGAATGGTCTTCGATGGTGATAGAGAGCTTTATATAGCTTCAGCAGGTCAGAAGGGAATACAGTTTTCCTGGTTCTAAATATGAATCTAGCAGCTACAAAGGCAGTGGATGACGTCCCACTAATCTAAAGGAGTTATCATCAGATACAACATAATAATGCTTTGTACATAAACATAGAAAAGTGATTTTTGTTGAAAATTCGTATACGATTATGTTTTGGAGAAGCTTAGTGACCATGTTCTTGAGTTTCCCAGCTACTGCAACAATTAAAAGAATAACTTACGATTTTCTGGGCTGAATAGTGGAATAGGATTAGAAATGGCTTTGAATTATAAATCTTCAATCTTATATACTTTTTAGGACATCATGATATTTTTTACTACTACATTCACACTACCAAGAGAAGAGCATGCCGCTATTGGCTGTAATTACAATTATTATTTATGCATTGTTATTACTTGTACTTGTCATTGCGTTACCAATTACTTATTTACAAAATTGCTTACTTCATTGCTATATTTTTCACAAAGACAGAACATATTATTACTTGCCATTACTTTTTTTTATGGCGTGCTTTTAATTATTGTTTAATATATTTTTAGACTGGAAATAGGCGAAACGGAGTATCGTGTGCTAACTGCAAAACTAATAATACTACCCTTTGGAGAAGAAATAACCAAGGTGAACCTGTTTGTAACGCTTGTGGACTATACTTCAAATTACATAATGTAAGTAGCTATGGATCCAATATAAGTCTTTTGTAGCAAAATAACTAGCTAATTTAAAATAATATATCAGGAAAATATTTAAAAGGATATTTTATATATTTCAAAAAGCTTGGTTTAACTTTAAGCACCTATTACTAACTATAGTAAGAAGTACTGGTTTCTCTATGACTTTAGACGGTATCAAGAAAATTCCCCGACAACAATTCCCCGACTGGAAAATTCCCCGATAATACATTACATTTCACCACAAAAAATCTATCATATCAAATATCATCAAATTTTAAGATTTTAGATTGTCAAATATTGAAGAATTGAATATATAGAAATAGTACCACAAATTAAATTTTTAGAAACTACTACTATTTTTTTATAAAGACGATTAATTTGATCTTGCATTTATATTTATAATTCAAATTGAAGGTGTTTTATAAATACCTAAATAAAGTCGAGGGGCTGATCCGACGCAGGATATTAATGTACTTAAGGTCTTAAGATTTAAATCAAACCATTTTAAGCAAATTTCAAGTGTACCGCAGGGTTCGGTCCTTGGGCCCCTTCTTTTCATAGTTTTTATTGATGACATTATTGGCAAAAGCACAGAAGTAAAATACTTAAAGTATGCTGATGATTTAAAAATTTTTGCTGAAATACGGAACTTTGTTGATTGCACAGCTTTACAAAGTTGTTTAGCTGAATTATTGCTATGGTGTACTAAAAATTATTTGCATTTGAATCCTGGTAAAAGTAGTGTTATGACATATACTAGTAAAAAATCATATTTCACCTTTGATTATCAGATCAATGGCATTGTGTTAAGTAGGCCGGAGTTTATAAAGGTTCTGGGAGCCCATTTTGACAGGGAATTAAATTTCGCAAGGCATATTGAGCAGGCAGTTATGTGTGCTTCACGGAGTCTTGGTTTTGTAATTTGAAATTCCAAACAATTTAAAAATATACATACAATGAAGTTATTATATACCTATTAGTTTTGTTAGATCTAGACTTGAGTATGCGTCAGTATAGTTTAATTCCTACGGGATCTTTTACATTAAGGGCTAAACTGCATTGAGTTTCAGGACTATATCAACATTAAAGTACCCCGTCATGCCCTAAGAATATACCTAAGCTTTCACTTACTATTAGCTGCAAATACAAATATTTTGAACGGTTGTTCTCTAATTTTTTAAATGATCAATAATTATCATCGTCTTCAAGATAGTTTGGATATTTTTAGAGCTATTACCATAGAAACTGAGTAGGTGTTTATCCTGCTTGGTAAGTTGATAATATATCTTTTGTGTGTATTTATTTTATTTTAATTTAGTTTTTAAATTTTTTTAAATTTGTTTTATGCTCCTTTAAGAACTTAAATATAACTGAATATTTTACCTTCAGTTTTCCTTAAAAATAGGCTTTATTGTACTTCTTGTTTCATGTTCAGTCATTGTGATGTATATCATAAGTATATTGTATTTGTTTTTAATTTATGTTCATCCCACTCTGTAATTGGTTTTTAACTGTTGAGTGGTGTACTAAATAAATAAAAAATAAATAAATAAATAAAAAAGGATTCATGGATAACGACTTTTTGTATAACAAACGGTTCTTTTTAGAATCACAATATACATTTGAAATGATAGATAGAATATCTTTTTTAAATGTAATATATTTGTCGGGGAATTTTTCAGTCGGGGAATTGTTGTCGGGGAATTTTCCTAGACCCAGTTTAGACCTGCACTAATATCTAACTTGGCACTCAATGTGTTAATTATCTGAATCGACAAGCAGTCTGTTACTTATCTAAATTCCAGTAGCCCTAAATAATAGATATAATGCGATATCTCGACCATACAAAAATATCAGTTTATCCGGGGTTGATACGGAAATTATCTTTTTTGATATAAAGCAATAGTAATAATAACAAAATTCTCTTGTAAATATAAGATACACTATCTGGCATACGTAACGTTTGAAGATAATTTTCATTCATGAAGATTATCTACAAAATATATTTATCTGTGCAGGTTAACAGACCGATCAGTATGAAAAAAGAAGGTATCCAAACACGCAAGAGGAGACCAAAAAGCTCTTCCGCTGGAAATTCCGGAAACCCCGGTCAAATGAGAATTGGTAAGTGATGGATAATCTAGGTTATAAAATACGTAACAAAAGTTTTGGCAAAAATTGCCATTACAAAAGCTATACCTATGTTGTTCCATGATAATTTCCACAGGAGACAGTTTTTGCCAAAACGTTTGTTACATACGTTAGTCATGCTTTATTGAACTGCCTTTGAAAGTAAAAACAAGTTATACTGCCATCAAAACCAGTGTTTAAACCAACGTGCAAAACTATAAGAACCGCAATATTCTAGACATAAAAATGATGTTTAGCATATAAAATGCATAATTAGTTTATTTATTATATCAATTTATTATGTGATATTGGTTTTAAAAAAAGTATACAATCAAAATCGCACATAAATTCATATAAAAAATTGACTTTTCAACATTTAACACCGTGAGCTCGCGGTAGTTACTATTATTGCATAGCGTTAGAAATGTTATAAAGCGGAAAAATTATATCGTCTTCATTTAATAAGTAAATCCATGGCTTATGTCTTTCATTGCGAAATTCTAATGTCATCATGGTAGATTTAATAAACATATACAATCCCGTTGTAAAAGTGGATTTCATGACGTTTCCACGTTTATATGTAGAGATAAAATTAAAGTACTTTGTAAATAAAATGATAAGCGAGGTGCTGATAAAGGGAGATGACATTTGAAAATAAATATATAAGAGTTTATTGAAACTAAACTAGGTAAATAATACCGTGACGTTTAATTTCTCTGCTAAGTTGGTTTTATTGAAAATTGGGCAATATTTTCTTTGGGTAATAACATCGTTTGTATTTACCTACACCTTACGTTTCTGAAGTAAATAAATCTAAAAATAAATGAAATGAAGCGTTAAATCGATATATCTTTTAGTGATAACACATTTTTTTTTAAATAAAAATAATCAAAATCAGTCCCTTTACAGCTATTTCAGTCGATCAGTCACCATCAGCCGAGCTATTAAAATCATTAAATCGACTACATAACATAATTTACAAAAATTATTAGTTGATAAAACACATAGTTAAAAAAACATTTAACAATATCTCCTTTTTTTATTTCTATGAAACATTTCTAGTCCGTTTTTTAATTTATCCTAAATAAATAAAAGTCCTTTATTGCTGCCTTCCTGTTTTCATAGACTAGCTTTCTATGTTTATATAAAAATAAAAATACATATCTAATACATACAATAATTTAACAGGTCTTCCTCAGTATCAGTTTCAACATACTCAAGACATAGAAATACCCCAAGATCAGTACCAGGTACCGATGAGCGTTTACCAACAACCACAACCTGCGTATAGACAATTTGCAACAGACAGTCACCGATTAAAGTAAGTTGGTATGTGAAATTTATAAAGTACGTTTAAATTACCAATTAAGAAGCGAGCTTGATAAATTTTGACAGATGTTTAGACAGATCACAGCTCTGTCAAAGTTTATCATGGTCATACAATTTCAATTAATTTTTCTTGCATATTATAATTTATGAAGACATCATCAGGCTTAGTCTTATTTTTAATTTTGCTTTGAACTTGGTTTCTTTCACATTGATTCCTTTATTTGTTTTTACTTTGCATTTTTAACTTTGTCGATGATGTCTCAAGATTTATTAGCAATTAGTAGTAGTAGTTTTAATAAAATTATTCGCAATCATATTCTGTGTAGTCTTTGTTACTGTTTCTCAGCGCCACTTTAGAAACATTATTATTCAATGAAATGTTTTTTCTCCATCCAATCATTTTCTATTTTTTAAATTTTCAGAAATGTTTATCCTCATTTTCTTTTACTACCTAATGCCCAAATTTTCCAAAGGGTTTGAATTCTGGATGGTAAGGAAATAACTGTAAAATATACATATAGGTAGTTGTCCATGTTCTTTGACGAATTCATCCAATATATTAGGTATATTTTACTGGAATTTTCGATCTGAGCTACTTTGTTATTTTTCAAATTTGGAATTTTGTTAATTTAGTGTAAAATTTTGGTAATATTTTTTTCTGATAATCAGTCGATCATCTTTTGTCTATAGAAATAAATTTTCGACTCTGACCTGGGTATAATATTATGATGTATTCGGTAAGAAATGTGATTATGTACAGCTTGGAGAGGCAAACACCAATACAGTTAAGCTGTATAATGTGTTGCCTACGTGGTCATAAGATAGCGTTCCACACATCTACACTAACTTGAATTACCTGTGAAACAAAGTTAAGATATTTTAATTCAGTACTTCTGTTTGAGCGAGAGTTGATCATTATTAACAATTGTTTTGTAAGTAAAGAAATTTCAAATGAAAGAATATTTTTACTATTTGTAGGAAAAAAGTTACTATTTGGTTGTGAGAATGTTTACTATTATACATGTCCCCTTTGGGATTAAAGTGGACCGTAATTTGAATTCATTTATACCTATACTTATATGTACGCTACATAGCACTCCATGAAAAAGGTGTGTGACGTCGACCTAAGCTGCACTGTGAGCTGTAACCGTCCGGTACGAAAGACAATGCAAAAATACTTAACAAGCAGTGTTGCCAACCTTGAAGTAAGATTTTTCCCTCCACTTATCCTTAAAATTCCCACTTTTATGAAAAAATTCCCTTCAGTTAACAAAATCGATTTTATACCAGAAATACAAGCATGTACATATTTAAAAAAAAAATTATTAAAAGAAAAACGAACGTATATAACAAAGTATAAAAAGTATAACCTAAAAAACATAAATCTTAAAAAAAAACGTTAAAGAATTAACAATTTTAATTTTATTTATTTTTCACAATTTGGACTGGAGTAAAAAATTCCCGTTTTGAATTAACTTTTTCCCTTTTGTGTTGAAAATTCCCGCAAAACAGGAAATTCCCTTGCGGTTGGCAACACTGTTAACAAGTCAATGCAAATAAGAAATTAGATTAATCGATTCTTAGTTAGTTGATGTTTTGGTGAAAATCGGGACTTAATGTATTGAAGCAGTCGCTAGCCGTAAGTGAATGTTTTATAACCATGAGTAAAAGAAAACTAATAGTAAATATATGTGATTTTGTGGTTATTAAAGCAGTTGCAGAAACATTATTCATTTATCGTAGGCAAACTGGTGCCTAAGTTAAATTAAATGTTTACTAGGGGTTATTAAAGAACCCCATTTTACGAAACTGATGTCTAAAATATTTATTGTGCCACCTCTGGTCACTAAGGCAGCAAGGATATAACCTTTATGTTTGTAACAACCTTTTTAATCCAATATTCCCAATAAAGAAAATTTATAGTGCAGCCAAGTAATCTTCTATCTAACATGCTTTCAGATATAGAGCCCTTGGAGTCTGTAGTGCTACACATTTCGTCAGAATGTGAACGGATGTTTTGTCCCCCTCCTCACATAATTTTCACTCGCTATTTTCTATTCATTTGCTTCCAATGATTTTATCAAGATGACCGTTGAGTAGATATATTACCGGTGTGAACTTGGCAACCAAAAGCTAGGTCAATTTCCCGAAAATGCCCGAAAGATCAGTAGCGTCTCTAAAAAGGTTAAAAATTTAAAAATCGGTATATAAGTAAATAATAATATTATAAACAATTTGAGACAAGTTTTATTTTCTTAACAGGGGTATAAGTTGGTTCAAAGGGGTAGCAGCCCTTTTTGAAATATTGGAAAAAGCAATTTGGTACAGGAGGGAAAAAGTTAACACTTTAAAAGTCAGTATAGAGCTAGATAATAATATTAGAAACAATTTGGGATTATAGTCTGATCTTATTACGAGGGGTCTAAGTTGGTTCAGTGGGGTAACAACCTTTTTTGAAATATTGGAAATGGCTATTTGGTACAGAAGGGACAAAGTTAACATTTTAAAAATCGATATGTATGAATCGCGTAAGGCCCTCTTCAGAAAAAAAGCTTTGTTAATCTTGAATGGCCATTCTAGCCATAAGAGCTACAAGGCCTTAGAATTTGCTAAACAAAATTCAGTCGTTCTTCTGTGCCTTTCTGCACACTGCACACACCGCCTACAACCATTGGAAGTAGGATTTTTTGGCCCCCTTCACAAATATTATAACCAAGCTGTTACCCATTGGTTAAAAGAAAATCCAAGTCGTAAAGTTACTCTTTATCAGATAGCCAAACTTTTTAACTCTATAAAAGAACAGCTACACTCGAAATTGCAGCCTCTGCGGTTTGTGCCACGGGAATATCGCCGTTTGATGCTAATATTTTTTCTGACCATGTATTTTTACCTAGCTTAACAACGGACGTGTCTGCTTTAGAAGTAGAACCTATTAACGAAAATTTAGATCTGGAAGAACCTGAAGCAAATACTGAACTGAAACTTAGAGAGCAAAAACAACAAACTTTTACAGTATATCAGGATCAAGCACATGTACGCTCTTTAAAAGAGGTCGATATTCAAAGTATCTTACAAGAATTGTCACTAGTTCCTCAAAGCAACATAAGAAAAATTCGCAAACGTAAGATTGGTGGATACCAAGATGTTTTAACCGAAAGTCCGTATCTTCAAAGCATTCGAGAAAAGGAAATCGAGAATAAGAAAGAAAGAAGGATCAAAAGAAACGTTGTTAAAAGGAAACTTAAAGACAATTACCAAGAAAGTAAAAATAAAAGAAAACAGGAGCAGTTCAGAAAAAGTAAGAGAACTATTGCAAGGGTCAGGTTGATGGCAGACGAAACTAGTGAAGAAGAAGAAGAAGATCCATATCGTGTTAGTGACGACGAAGATAACTGCCCATGTCTCTATTGTAACGATTTGTACAGCAGATCAAAAGCCAAGGAAACTTGGCTACAATGTCAACATTGTCAAAAGTAGACACACGCAGAGTGTGCGAGAAAATAAGATTTGTCTCAAATTGTTTATAATATTTTTAAAGTTTTTAAAGTTTATTCCTTTTTAAAGACGCTAGTGATCTTTCGGGCAACTTCGGGAAATTGGCCGATATCTTTTGGCTGCCAAGTTCACACCGTTTTTTTTTATTTTCACACCCTTTGGACACACGAGTCTCAAATGAAAACTGTGTTTTACTTGTCTAGCTCATTAAATGCATTAAAAGCATTTTCAGACCTTCTTTAATTTGATTAGGTGAAGAGCTCAGCTCTTTGATGGCTGTTTGGGTATTGGACATGTCTGCGATAGTTTTTATTGCTCTTTAACTGGATACATTTCCCAACGACATTAATAATTTTCGTCTAGAATATTTTTTGGATATTTACCTAAACAATTAGACTACCTACTTGGTTCCTTCCAGTTCCTTCTATGATTTTGAAACCACCCGCATTTCACTAAATGCTGTGCTTCTGGGTCGCAGAACCTATTTACTTTTAACTCAGTTTTTCTTCTGCCCAGCTCTGTGGTATAAGTTTTTTTGCAAAGTATACCTCTACTTCTTCTTGATTTCGACCTGGGTCATAGCACAGGTAAACTTATCTCCGATACTCTAACTGATAAACCTTAATCCGAAAAATATGTACTTAACATGAAATGAATTTGACACGTCGAATTCTAGAAATCGGCAAAAGCATCTTAAGTAAACCAAAACCGAAAGAATAACCATTTTTAACAGTTAAACAATTTTGCATTGAGTCAGGTAGAATCAAAATGGATATGCTCTTGAGTCAATAAATGTTATGGTAGGTTTGGGGTATTAACAAAGTGCGACCTAAAATATATCTAATGCAGCAAGGAAATGTATCGATATTTACAACGATCCTTCCAATCCTTTCTTCTCAAGGAAGCGTAGGATTTGGAGTAGCTCTCAATTAGGAAGATTGCCCTCTTCATTTTAATATTCCCCTAAGTACAGTGCCCTTGGATTTTGGAGTGTTAAACATTCAATCAGAATACGAATGGAGGTTTCGTTCTTTGAGTCTGCAATTCCCCGTAAGGATCCCTATTACAATGAGTAGCCTGTTCTTGCTTAGACAGATACAGGCTTCCATTAGTTTTTGCTTATATTCAGAAAAATATCTTAGCTCTAAGAGATTATTTCAATTATCGGTTCTTTTTTAAATCTTTCCTAATATTGTACACCTCTCAATGGCCTGAATTTCCACCTGGAGGATGCTTGGGAACTTATCCAAAAGTTTCCGGGTCCATACTCTCCTATTCCAATCCCTTCTGTGGTTTTGGAACCATCCGTATACCACCGAATTGCATGCCTTTCGGTTGAAAACACGATTCTATAGGCTCTCAACTAATTTTCCCTAATTATTGGTTTTCCTCTTTCAGTGCCCAACCTTTGCAGCCTATAAGCGCCGAAGACGAGCAAGCCAGTGTCATCACTTCAACGTCACAGCAAGCAAGATTTAGGACAGACGTGGAAGACGAGGACGGAAGTAATCCATCAATGCAAACTTAGATTTTTGGGAATACATTGTTTGGATAGTACTCTTTAACATTATTCCTATTTATTTCGTTTTGATGGGATTTATAGGTTGACATTTTGTCAACGTAACTGTTTTTTATTTTATAGTAGTCACTTTTTTTAAAGTACAGTCAAAATTAGGCACTGAGGTTTTTAAAAATGGTAGGGAACAAATTGGATTAAAATATCTAAATAAAAAATTAATTGCTTTGTTAAAAAAATATTAGAAAATTTGGAATTTATCCACATGAGTATGCATTAAATACTTTTTGTAACGATGCAACTGTTAAGTTTAAAGGTTGATTTTGGTTATTCGGATAAAGATGATCGGGTACTTTTAAAATAAATTAAATAACTCAGTAATGAAAACTTTTAATGAGGCATATTAAACATTTTGAAGAGTTAGTAGTACCTATCTAGGGTGAACCCATTTTAAAGGCTTATAAAAGGTGTTTACAATTGAAATGTAACTTTGTTATTTCATATGGAAAACCCCGTACCTATATTAGTAAGCTTTACACATAAAAATTAAAATAAAAAAAAAATAAGTGAATTAGAAATTTGATCAGTTATTGAACTAATTTGTACATTTTTGTTTTTCAAGTTATATTAATATTTTAAGTAAATATGCCAAATATTCTTAGTCATCAGAAATCATACAGTCTTAAAAATCTTCTTAAAACGAGAAGTTGAGATAATGACAATTAAAAATAATTGATTAAACAAATAGGACGAGATTAGTGAAGATGAAGGATAAATAAGAAAAATAAGTAACGAAACACAAGGCTGGATAAATATAAATTTTATAATCTAAAAAGCAGCCAAGACACAAATACCTACATGATTATTAGACCAAATGAACAAATACGAATAAGTGACTTACAAATAATGAAATATAGGTTAATACAGTGGCGCAGCCAGAATTTTCTATCAGGGGGAGGTATTTAAAAAATATAATGTTTTACCTAATTTAACTTTTTCAATTTCAAAATCGTCTGTATTTGCGTCTGGGTTTAGGGGGTTTTAACACTCCCTCGCTGCGCCACTGGGTAAATAGGAATACATTGTATCAAATTAAAGCCCAATATTCAAATGTGCCGATTATATTGTAAACGATAGGTAGTTCTTTTGAGGTTCTGCAAGAAATAGTAATATTCTTGAATAATGATTAATAAGTTTCGTGAATTTTTCACTACTACTTACTATTGGTATAAAAATAAAAAAAATTTCAAATTTTCATAATAACAGCGTTCAAAGTAGAGGCACATTTTATTTTCTGGATAACTATAATCTTTTATACTTTAACTTCCTTATGCCATTTCGGACACTAAGAGTAATAACATTATTTGATAGTATCTATTTCAAAATCTTCTTCTTCTTCTCTTTTTTTGTGACAAATAAAATTCGAGATTCGTAGCACTTCCGGTAGCGTTCTTTTCTACGCTTTTCTATGTCTGTTGTTGCAGCTTCTTTGGCTTGATCTACATTCTTTGATTCTTAAAAAATGCTAGATTCTTGTTCTGTCCAATATCGCTTCTATTTCCACGTCTCTTTTAATAACATTTCTGATTTTATTCTTTATAACATATTCCAGCCTTTTCAAATATTACATTTTACAAGCTTCAATTTAATATTTCATCTGACATTTACGTTTTTCTGTTCCTGTCGTATGGTTATTAATAGATATTGGTCTATATACAGTTTACTGGTATCATCATTAATTTCTTCATGTGTCTGACAATGGGCTTTGACTGTTATTCCTAACAGTGTTGTTCAATTTAATTCACATTGTTATACCCTTTCAAAATCACTGTAACACCGGCTGATCTAATGGGCAACTGCAATTTCCCTTGCTCCTTGAGAATAATAAACCTAGGTTGATTCCTTTGACTAAAGAAATCAAATGAAAAAAAAAAAATCAGCCTACGCTGTGAACCCAGAAAATTGTCTCCTCCCCTTGGAAAGGTTCTGGTTTCGCCCCTGATATGTATTGAAACGGTCTATTATCTTCTATTATCTTCTATTATCTTCTATTATCTTCTATTATCTTCTATTATCTTCTATTATCTTCTATTATCTTCTATTATCTTCTATTATCTTCTATTATCTTCTATTATCTTCTATTATCTTCTATTATCTTCTATTATCTTCTATTATCTTCTATTATCTTCTATTATCTTCTATTATCTTCTATTATCTTCTATTATCTTCTATTATCTTCTATTATCTTCTATTATCTTCTATTATCTTCTATTATCTTCTATTATCTTCTAAAGTAAGACAGCTAGCGACAAATTTAAAATACAAAAACTTTAGGGTTTTTTAAAACGGATGAAGTAAAGACAAATTAATTATACAGGGTCAGTCAAATACACATGACGAAACAAAGTTTCGTTATGTTTAATGGAACACATTGTATATGATTCCTTATTTCAATTTAATAAAATTCGTTTATGAATTGAAATATGAAATAAACTACAGGGTAGTTTATTAAAGAAAAATCAACTTTGTTTCCTTACATATCAGCGACCTTGTACCTATAATAACATTTCCTATACTCCTATAGCCATTAATTTTGATTTTTCAGTTTTCTTTTTTCTACAGTTCTTTTGCAAGAATATAGCTAATTATCTTATCCCAATGTCCTTTATCTTTTGGTCACTATTTTCTGTATATACTCATCTATACACTACATTAAAATTATTTTAATCAACAAAAAATGCCATAAGATTTTTGTTTCCATATAAATGGTTCTTGGTTCTAATATATTTTATTATTTTAATATTTTAAAGCTCTCTATGATCTTTTGTTATCTTACTACTTACTCTGACTCTTCCTATTTTTAAATGTATCATTACTACACAAACTATCTTCGAATTGCATCAGAAGGCTTCATTACTTAAATCTTGTATCCAAGAAAACTGAGCGAATTTTTTTCTTCAGATTTTTTTCGTCCAGAAATATTATAAAAATATTAAAATGTATTTAATAGTTAAAAGTTGCTTGTGTGATTTTTAAATTTTCCAAATATTACTATTTCTTTAAAAATCTATATTTTTTTAAGAATAAATGATTGTCTGTGATATTGGAGTTTTTTTAGATAGACGTAGTTTTAGTAAATATTTAGCTTTTTATTGTATTTATTTTGCTGAACTAGAAGCTAGTTGATTAGAATTTGAAAATTGGTAATTATTTTAAGTTTTTGTTATAAATAAAATGTGTATCTAGTCTAAAATAAGAATAAAACTTTGTTTAATTAAGAATTGGTTTTAATTAAGTTTGTTTTAAAAAGTATTTATGACAAACACACGCTCAAAGATTATATAGGGTGTATCTAAATAACACCGAAAAAATTAAAGGGGTGATTCTGTGATGAAAATTAATGTGAGTGTTTGGTATAAAATTTTTTGAAAAAACCCTCCCCGGAAAAGTTACACCCCTTCGAAAATAAAAAAAAAAATGGTTTTTCTTTTTTATTTTCTCTGTATATCAAGCTAAAGACACGAAACTTGGTAAACATTATCTGTCAATAAAAGTACACTTTTTGAAATTTTTTCAACCCTGAAGTATGCTTAGAAGGGATTGAAATAATCAACCCCTAAGATGTTTTTTCTTACTTTAAAAAAATATGACTGAAAAGCTCAATTCATTGACTAACTTTTTTTATCTCTACAAGTTTTTTTCGAAAACTTAAGCATTTATGAGAAAAAAATAAATAAGCTCATGTAAAATAGCATTTTATTAAACATCAGCCAACCAAATATGATTCTTAAGACTTCTACAACTAAAAACAAAAGTGAACAAACAATGAACAAAAACCTGTCGAATATCGACAATACAATTATAATAAATGTTGAAAATGACCGCCTTCAGCTTCAATACAAGCATCTACCCTTTTCCTCATAGAATTGCGTATACGATGAAATATTTCTGGAGAGGAGAATTTCTTATAGTTTCACACCCTGCTACAATGCGGTTTCGCAGATCATCGATATTTTCAACTGGGTTTGTGTATATCAAAGATTTCAGATATCCCCATATGCAAAAATCCACAGGATTAAGGTCAGGGGAGCGGGCTGGCCAGTTTACAGGTCCTCCTCGACCTATCCATTGATTGGCATACACCTCATCCAGGTGAGTTCTTGCACGTATACTAAAATGAGCTGGTGCACCATCGTGCATAAACCATAAATGTTGCCTAATTTGAATGGGAACCTCTTCAAGAAGAACAGGTAATTCTTCAAGGAGATGACAATATGCTTCACCATTTAATCGTAGCGGAAGAAAATGGGGACCAATTAAATGATTATCAATAATTCCGAGCCACACGTTTAATGAAAATTGATACTGATGATTTCCTTCAAAAAAGCCATGAGGATTTTGGTCAGCCCAAAGCTGATTGTTGTGAAAATTTCTAATACAGTCTCTTGAGAAACTCGCCTCGTCAGTAAATAAAATATTACCTAAGAACTGTGGTGCTTGGCCAATCATATTAATAAGCCACTGACAAAAAATCACACGGGGTAAAAAATCTCGAATCATTAACGCCTGCACCCGTGAAGATGATAGGGATACAACATTTGTTCTTTTAAAATTTTAAAAACAACGGAATGGCTTACATGTAGGACACGAGCTATTCTCCTGGTACTAGTTTCTGGGAATTCTTCAATTGAATTAAGTACGGCTTCTTCTACAGCTGCAGTTCTAACTTCTCTAGTACGACCAGAACCATAACTTCTTTTTTCAAAATTACTACGTTCCCGCAAGCGTCGGTGAATAGTTGTGAACGTAGTATGATGGGGTAGTCTACGCTGTGGGTACCGTTCAGCATAAAGTCTTTGCGCTTCCAATGAATTACCGTTAGCACGACCGTGTGTAAAATGCATATCTGCCATTTCCAAATTCGAATATGCATTCACATTTTCAATCAACTAATATTTCCTACAATACACACACAATCATAAAACTTGTGAAACAATAAGATGGGTAACAGAAAATGACACTACACAATCCTGGTATCAGTATTAATGTTTTTATGCAAAGCACAGACCACTAGACTTGATGCAAAATACACTCGCGTTAGCTCATCTTTTTGAAAATGTATTGCATTAGATTTTTTTTCTCGTAAATGCTCAAGTTTTAGAAAAAACTTGCAGAGTTAAAAAAGTTAGTCAATGAATTGGGCTTTTCCATCATACGAACTTGCCTCATTACTGTTAAAACTCGGCCTAACATGTACGTTACGGATAACGTAAACGTTCAATCATAGCACCCATTATGTATGCTGATGATCTCGTCATGGAAAAAACATTGTTACAACTTGCAGGTTATTGCAAACTGCAGTGGATCGTCTGGGCTTTAAATATTGGTCTTTCTTTCTCAGCTAATAAATTTAAAGTCATCAAATTTAGTAAACGAGGAAAAGGTTAAAATATAAATATATTTTATAAGGGCCTTCTTATAACTAGTGATGCCGCGAGACAAGATGAGAGAGTGACCTCTCTCGTCTCGTCTCGTAGGGCGAGAGAAAATTGTTCTCTCGTCTCGACGAGAAGGCTCTTCTCTCGTCTTGTCTCGTCTAGTTTCTCTCGTGATAAAACAATATCAAATTTAAATTTGAAAAAGACGAAACATGAAAAAACGGTAAAAATTGTAACAAAGAATTTTTCAAGTAATTTGCGCATTAGTATCCAAATTTGGCAATCAGAAACACTTATGTCTCTGTCCGTCTGACACAGTCGTTTTACAATTGAAATTTGATGTAATAAGTGGCCCAGATTAGGCGTTAACTAAAAACGAAAATACTTTGTCTTGTAAGTCAGTTGGGGAGAGGGGGAAGAGGTTAAATTGGAAGTTAAAATTTTTCTAATGCAATCCTGCGATGTCAAATGAAAGCATTTTGTAGTATCTTTTCAAAATGCAAGAAGATAGAGACATAAAACAAAAACGATGTGAAAAACATTATGATATTTTTGTTATAATGAGATGCACTTTACTTGAGACGTAAAATAGAGGGCTTTATTATCTTTAAATTTTCTAATGAAAAGTAAAGTCATGTAATGCCTCATTTGAAAGATATTTTGAATATATTTATGTCCAAGCACACAGTTTTTTTTTTATTTTACAAAAATTACATTCTTGATAATCCTCGTGTGCCGCAATAATCCTAAAAATGTTAGATAATGTTAAAAGAGAATTTTTTAATAAGCTTTTTCTGCCAAGAAGTTATGAAAAATTTAATACGTCAAGTGGTTTTTAAATCATCTTTGATATTCTTAATTTATTTATTTTAGTAAATACAAGAAGCGTTTCCTTAGTAATAAACAATAATTGTTAATACGAGAGTTATCAAGAATGTAACTTATTAGTAAAGGCCCAGAACATGTCTGTATAAGAACATAGTACCAGCTACAAAAAGTTGTCATTTGTAGAGTGTTAGATCCCTCTAACAGTAAAAAATTACTGAAATTTATAGAAGATACTGACATTTATTCTGTACTAGCCAAAATGATAATTATCCATTGTATACTATTGTAAAAAACAGCATTTATAAGGTATTATACCTCCGGTAATGATCCTTTGAGGTTGAAGCGGTAAATAAAAAAAGAATTATGAATTTGTTTAATGTAATTTCTGTAAAAACCTAAATCTGTTTACATGAACGTAAAAATAAAGAAAATATCTTTCAAATGAGGTATCACATGACCCTACTTTCCATTAGAAAATTTAAATCTAGTATCTCCCACTATCTTACGTGTCTCAAGTAAAGTGTATCTCGTTATCACAAAAATATAATATCTCTTGAGTTTTACTTCGTTTTTGTTTTGTCACTAGGTCTGTTCGGGTTCTTCAAAAATACATTGAGAACTATCAGAGGACTAGTTGACCAGTGGATAGTTTAATAGTTGTATGCGACGAATAGTTTGGAATTGAACTGTTCCACTGGTTCTTGGATGGTTTACATCGAGTTTTAAAGAAACCCGAACAAACCTATTATCTTTATTCATTTAGAAGTTAAAATAGAGGAGGGTACAATTTTCGTTCTGACTGTATATAATACATTCGTTTGTATTACCATTTCTTTGACAATTTTTCGAAAAAATGCTTAAACATTTTCAACTTATCTTCAAAAGTAAGCTCAGAATAGCAGAATGGATTAAATATAAGAAATGATTGTATAAATTTTAAATAAATGAAATGAGAAATATTTTTTCTCATAAATCACTATTTATAATAACACAAGAATCATTTGTTACCATTTAATATATATGGAATAGGTGTGTTTTTGACTATCTCGAAATCTAATATGTTAAAATTTTAAGTTACGATAAGCAATTGAAAATTTCAAATAAGCAAAGAGAAAATTGTTCAAAAGAGCCCGATAGAGCTCGAGAGAAATGAGAAATTCTTTCTCTCTCGTCTCGTTTCGAATCTGTTTTCGAGAGAAAATGTCTTTCTCGTCTCATTTGATACAAGACAAGACGAGACGAGAGACGAGAATCTCTCGTTTCGCGGCATCACTACCCACTAGAAAAACCTAAATTAAACAATTATGAGACTATGTGCCTATGATCAACCTTAACCAAAGCCTTAGAACTCTTTATATAGCATTTTTTTGACAAACTTCACATTGACGTTTCACATATTTGTTGATATGTTACTCCGGTATTTAAATTTTTTAAATCCAATCACGATTTAGTGAAAACCAAAGGTGAAACACTGCAGTATACCTACTATATGTTTTTAGATACAGTTTATTTTGATTGGTGTATGTTGTCTATTATTATTATTGATTGATGTATTATAGTGTTAAATAATCATAGAAACATTCTAAATAAAAATGGCTAGTTAATAAACTATTAAAAATAACATTTATCTATTAAACCTGCACTGCTATGTTCTCTTAAATCTTAAATATTCTTTTTTCATTACATTTTATTTAATTTTTTTATTAAATTGTAAGTATGATGTTCTGATCAAAAATGTAATTTATATTATGTGAAACCTCATCACTGGACATTTAAAAGCTTATTAGGTTGCCACATCTATAAATAAATAAACAAATAC